AAACTCATTAAGTATTGTACAATTGTAAAAATTACAAAAGGGATTTTTTTTTGAAAATAAAATAATAACTGTGATGGTAGTACTCAATATGTCTTTCTCATATACCTATATTTGAAGGTGACGCGTATATTGTTATAAGAAGACAAACTATTGGTTGTCTAGCGAACAAAAGGCATTTTTCCGAGTACGGCGTATAGGAGTGACATAGCACTATAACGAGCAAAAAACTACTTAGCTATGTAGAATCACACCAACTTAATTATCATAGCTACAACATTAAATGAGATATCGTAAGAAAGATACTGTTCCTATATTTGTCATCAACAACCATTTTTTTTAAATAACTTATTTCTGTTACTCTTCCGGTTTCAAACCACGGTGTTATTCGCATAACTCTCCAGTATTTATTTTCTAGTAGCAATTAGGATGGATATCGAACCACCGTTTTATTGGCTTACACATCCCGTATTTTCTAGTATCAATCAGGATGATTACAGAATAATCGTGTTATTGGCATAACACTCTTGCTTCTTACTATACCAGTTCCCCTAACAACATTCAAATACTTTGTTTCGTGCTAGACCAACTGGTCTTTAACAATATTAGAATACTTTGTTTCGTACTAGACCAACTGGTCTTTAACAATATTAAAATACTTTGTTTCTACTAGACCAATTGGTATTTAACAATATTAAAATACTTTGTTTCGTACTAGACCAACCGGTCTTTAACAATATTAAAATACTTTGTTTCGTGCTAGACTAACTGGTCTTTAACAATATTAAAATACTTTGTTTCGTACTAGACCAACTGGTCTTTAACAATATTAAAATACTTTGTTTCGTACTAGACTAATTTGTCTTTAACAATATTATAATACTTTGTTCCATACTAGACTAATTGGTCTTTAACAATATTAGAATACTCTGTTACGTACTAGACCAACTGGTCTTTAACAATATTAGAATACTTTGTTTCGTACTAGACTAGTTTGTCTTTAACAGTATTATAATACTTTGTTCCATACTAGACTAATTGGTCTTTAACAACATTAGAATACTTTGTTTCGTACTAGACTAATTTGTCTTTAACAATATTATAATACTTTGTTCCATACTAGACTAATTGGTCTTAAACAATATTAGAATACTCTGTTACGTACTAGACCAACTGGTCTTTAACAATATTAAAATACTTTGCTTCTTAGTAGGCCAGTCTTTCTTTAACAGTATTTAAAATACTTAGCTTCATACTAAACCAGTCTTGCAAATAGTTACATTTTTTTGCCTTCTATAGTGTGAGATATTTATATGTTACTCAGATTTCCATTGTGTCCAAAATGTTCTCCAAAGTCACAAAATTAAAAATTTCAAGAAACAGTTGTATCATAACAGCATGTAAAATTCTGGATAAAGTATCTGAATATAGTTGTCACTGTACGTAACGATATCCATTCATTCAGATAAAGACCAAACTAAACTCCGTGTTTTGTGAAACAGCTCAATCAACAGATGATAAGAAATTCCTACACTTGTAGTGTTTACTCACCCTCGAATAAAAGCTGTGGCGAGACCTCATGCTGAAAGTCACGCTCAAGGAAAAACAAAGTTAACCCCCCCCCCCCCTGCAGCATTCTCACCGTTGACTTTAACGACATCAAAAGTTGGGGGCGTGTTCAATGAAGAACGTGCCCAGTTCTCATTGCACTGATCTCTGCAAAAGCGTATTATGAGAGAAAGACCCCGAGTTGTGTGAACAGTATATCTAATGATGTGGCCATAATGAACACTTCTTTCACCTTTATGATTAAAGATACAGTACTAATGTCCACAATTTGTACAGTGTTAACTATATATGGATTGAAGATACAGTACCAATCTCCACAGTTTGTAAGGCGTTAGCTACATATGGATTAATGAAAGATACAGTACCAATCTCCACAGTTTGTAAGGCGTTAGCTACATATGGATTAATTAAAGATACAGTACCAATCTCCACAGTTTGTAAGGCGTTAGTTACATATGGATTAATTAAATATGCTGTACCAATCTCCACAGTTTGTACGGTATTAACTACATATGAATTAAAGATACAATACCAATGTCATCAGTTTGTAAGATGTTAGCTACACGTGGATTAAAGATACAGTATCAATCCTCATAGTTTTGTACGCTGTTAACTATATAGGGATTAAAGATACAGTACTGGTGTCTACAGTCTGTACGATGTTGAATACATATGGATTAAAGATACAGTACAAATTTCCTCAGTTTGTACGGCGTTAACAACATATGGATTAAAAATACAATACTAATACTAATCTCCTCAGTTTGTAAAGCGTTAGCTACATTTGGATTAATGATAGAATACTAATCTCCTCAGTTTGTAAACCGTTAGCTACATATGTATTAAAGGCACAATACCAACCTCCCCAGTTTGTAAGACGTTGGTTACATATGGATTAAAGATACAGTATGAATCTCCACAGTTTGTGCTGTGTTAACTATATATAGATTAAAGCTACAGTACTTGTGTCCACAATTTGTACGGCGTTAGCTACATCTATATACTACTAAAACTCTGAGATTGTTTGTTTGTTTGTATGCTTGTCTGTAATTAAATACAGCAAAAACGGCGCATAATATGAATAGAATATGAGAAATGAGAATAGAAACAGAATAAAACAAGTTTCGTTAAAATCGGGCCACGGATTACCGTGTTAGCGCCGTTTTTCGGGTCACTCATGAAATTTTCTAGCATGAGTAATTTTACATCACACTACTGTTCGCGCTCTTTACGAAACTTTTTCGTTCAAATCTATTTCCCTGTCAATGTTCCCATCTTCATTAAAAGGCGTAAGATGACAAAAACATTATCTTGAAGAATTTCTCAATAATGCGCCTTGGTTATGGTAGGTAAGGAAATGAGAAAATTTTCTCAGTAAAAAAAATCATTCGCTGTGAGACAGTGAGACAGATTTTTCATTTGGTGAATTTCGTAATGTATCAGTTATCAAGTTTTGCTGTTTCTTGCAGTAATTTGAGCAAGTAAGTATGAAATGTTTTTCTGAACTAGCTTTTTCTGGGTTTTTTTATAGCAATTACGTTCTAATAAACCATGAATAAC